GGGGGTTAGCACTGCCAGGGATGGAACAAGGTCCCATTTTACATAGGAGGAAGCTGAGGCCCAGGGGGAAGGTATGTAGTCAACAGGTCTGAGGACTCCAAGTACAGTGCTCTCCTGGGGAAGTCCTGCTGATCTTGTTCCAGGTGGGTGAGCATTTGTGTTACATGGGGGGAGGGGGGGAGGGCACACAACAGGGTAGTGAGGAGGGGATGCAGAATGTGGAGAAAAGGTGGTGAGAGGAAAACAGATGATGAGATAGTTTGCTATGTGACCCAGGCAGGTTTCTTGTCTTCTTTGGGGCTTGATTCCCCCATCAGCAACTAATGAGGTGTTGGACTGTGTGATCTCAAAGGACCCTTCTGACCCTGACTGCTAAGTCCTAATTACAAGTGTCTGGAACGTTTGTTTGGTTCGTTGGAGATGAACTCTCATCTGCTTGTTTTGAGAAGAGACAGGTGTGATGTTCATTCTACCCAATGCCCAGGTTGCCCTCATACATGGGGAGGTGGTGCTCCAGGCAGAGGTCTGTGCTGGAGAACACCACACTGCGTTCTTCAGCAGGTGATCCCACGTTCTGCAGCAGGCCCCAGGTGTGCTGAGAGGATGAAGGACACACTGGGCTGGATGAAAATACTCAGTGACATCATTTAGAGAAGAGGGGCTTTGGAAGGTCACCAGCCATCTCCCTAAGGAAACAGTAACTGCAAACAGGGCTCTGGTGTTGCACAGACCTGGGTTCAAGTCCCCATTTGGCCATTTGCTTTCTGTGTGCTTTCTCTCTCCACGGGCCTTAGTTATCAGCAAAATAGGGATAAGGATGGTACCCACATCAAGGGATGAGGCACACAGAGCATTTAGCACCATGCTGGGCACATAGTAGGTGCTCAGTAAAGGTTGACTTTCTTTCTCTAGGAGCTGCTAATGCCATGTGGGGGGGGGGGGGTAGACAATCTGGTTCTGAACGGACAATTCAGCCAGCCGGGGTGTGTGCTTGGGGGGTGGGTAAGAGAGATCTGGGGAGCTAGATTGAAAGAGAGTTCAGGGCTAATGCATGGTCCTGGACAGGATTTGGGACATTTTGAGGACAACTGGGGGATGTGTGTTTACAAAATAACCATTAAAAAGGAAAACAGATTGTCACAGAAAGGAGATAGTTAACAGAAAAAAACAGCATTACAGTTTAACCTCATTTTATTTAACAAACACACACAGAGAGATTAGACAGAGGGGGGTGCGGGGGGAGAAAAGACAAACACCTGAACACCTGGAATCTCTGAGTAGTAAAAACATGGAATTTCGATTTACTTATTTCTGCTCATCTGTATTTTCTTTCTACATTGTATATGAAGAGGGGGCATCAAAAGTTTCGTGGGAAAATGGAATGAAAGGAAAATAGAATTCCCACGTATATGCTGTTTTTGCAATTAGAAAAAAAAAAAAAAAGCCCAGGTTTTGGCACCAGATGCTCTGAGTTCAAACCTGACTCTCTCTTCCTGCTGGGTTGACTGTAGGCCTGACATGTAACCTCTCCGAGCCTCGGTTTCCTCATCTAAGAGGTCACTGACTGGGCCTGTATACAGCAGATGCTAAATGATCATCAAGTAACTGGTTCCAAACCAGCTGGGGGCCAGGGAAGAGTGGGGATGGGAATGGGGAACCTATGAAAAGCTCTTTGCTCAGGAACTGAAGTGAAAATGCAGACTTCAAGAGGTGGAGGTTAGACCCAACTCCGGCAGACTTCAAGAGGTGGAGGTTAGACCCAACTCCGGCACAAGCCTGCTGCTCCAGTGGTCTGAGGACAGCGTGCTCAGGAGCAGGACCCCTTACGTTGGTGCAAACCTAGCAGCCATCCTCTTGGTGTGAGTCACAATATTTGCTGCCTGTCTCCCACTGTGAGACTCAGCCAGAACTGGGAGAGGGAGGGTGTTCTGTGAACAGAGGCTATGCTGGTAGGTGTTAAATTCACAACTGGCTGGAGAGACTGGGCGAGGCTCCAAATGCTGACTTGAGAAACTGCTGTCCTCCTCCAGTGAAAAAGGTGCCACTCTTTGGAGAGTTAGTTGGGAGGCAGGAAAGCCAGTAGGTATCAGCTGTTTCTCGTGTGACCTAAAGGGATCCTAACCTAGGGAGTGTGCACAAACTAGTGTACTATTCTGGGCTTTCTGCATACCAAGCAACACCCTACCAGACAGAATTATAAACATTTATTGAACACTTACTATGTGCCAGGCAGTTTCTCATTCAGTTTTCTGGAAACTTCTATGGCAGGAGGGGGAAGGGAATAACAATAACTATTGTTATTCCTATTTTCCAGGTGAGAAGGTTACAGTTTAGAGAGGCGAGTATGCTTGCCCACAAGATGACATCAGAGTCCCAAGAGAAGTAAGTGACCTTTGGGGCCATCTGGGACAGGGTCCTGCTGAGACCAATTTCATCAGAAGCTCTGGGGTGACAGACATGTAGGCAGGAAGGAGAGAAGGCAGAGTGCAGAGAATGACAACTGTCTGCATATGTGCTATACGATCAGTGGCCAGGTGTGTGTGGAACTGAGCCTGCGTGGTGGTCATGGCAGGTGGCCATGGCTCTGGGCAATTCTGACAGGTCAGCCTCTCCCATCAACGAACATCTTGTCCCCAAGCACTGAGAGGGGAGCAGATCGCTTCTGGAGGCTTCAGTCTCTGTATCCAGCTCCCCTTCACTAACATGCATGTGCATACACACACAGACCCCTGGTTCTGCATTTGCCAACTCAACAGCACTTCACAGCAGCAACAATAGTGTTGGCTACACAGTAAGGTGAACACAACGAAGGCCACTGAATTATACACACGAGGAACGCACACGTGGCAGATATTGTTAGGAACTGAACTGATGGCACTCAACAACGATGACAACAAACTCTACACTCACTGCCACTGAGTTGGTTCTGACTCACAATGACCCTGTATAGGGTTTGTTGTTGTGAAGGGCCATCGAGTTGGTTCCACTTCAAATCTTAGGGAGCTGCCCAGGCCCACCTCCTACAGGTAGGAATCAGCACCATGCTGGAGAACAGTGCCTCGAAGCCCTGGTTGCTCATTACAATCTTTGAGTCCGTTTTAGACAAACACTGAGGCCAAAGACCCACCCCTGACCAAGAACATCTGAATCCATAGCAAACAATGAGCCGGAGCCAGGAAGGTGAAATAATAGTATTAGCAACAAACATGCATGGAGCGGTGACATGCAGTAGTATGTAGAGGATGGAGGCTGGCTCTGGAGTCTGTCTCATCAGCTGTGTGGCCTTGGACAAGTCACTCAGCCTCTCCAAGTCTCAGTTTCCTGATCTATAAAATGGGGATAAGTCTAGCAATTGTCTTCCCATGTCAGGGTAGTAATTCAAAGAGATATGTAAGTACAGTGCTTGGTACATGAGAAGTGTTCAGCACATATTAAGATGATTGTTTTATGCATTATTTGTGCTTTGTAGTGTCTGGGACCCCTCTCTGCGATGCTGGAACCTAGCTAGATCCGCTCTATCATGTTCCTGGCAGTGATCTGAGGCAGAGCTGAGAGAGGCAAGGCATGGGGGGCAGAGCTGGGTGGGGGCACTTCAGTCCCACTCCATGCCACCCTCCCGGAGAAGAGGCTGGGCAAAGTGATAACTGCCCCCTAGTGGTCCAGGGCAGAAGTGCACAGAGGCTATTTGAAATCCTGAAATCCCTGCTCAAGCCTGAATTGGTGGCCTTCCAGGAGGTTCTTTATGGCAATGGGCTAGCTAAGAGGATCTTCTGATGGGGTCTGTCATTTCTGAAAGAGCCACGGGTAGTGGTAAGATGAAGTTCCAATGGGGCCAGGTAGGTGCTGGGGACTTCACCTCACTAAGCCTGTTTTCTGCACCCAACCTATTTTAGAAAGGAGTGTCCCACGAGCTACACAGCACTTCACCTCACTAAGCCTGTTTTCTGCACCCAACCCACTTCAGAAAGCAGTGTCTCACAAGCTACGGCACTTCACCTCACTAAGCCTGATTTCTACACCCAACACATTTTAGAAAGCAGTGTCCCACGAGCTATGGCAGGCTTTTGTGCCGTTGGCTTACAGAAGTGAATGGATGGATACTGGGGCTGTAGGGAGCCACACTAGGAAGGAGGGAACCAGACACCATGAGGGTGTATCTAAGCCCTGTTAGCAGGAGTCACCTGTGAAAAACTATGCCACCTCCAAACACAGAGCCAAGTGATGGGAACCCCTTTATTTCCTTCAACTCCTGAAGAGCTCCGAAGAGAGAGGGAGTGTGAGGCGAAGAGGCGAAGTGTGTGGTTGCTCTGAGTCGCCAGTACACAGCCGTCTTCCTGGACACACCGAGGATTCAGAGCTTTTCATTCCCCTCTCCGTCTTTTCTGCAAATTGCTCAGGTACACCCTGGCAGAGGCTGCAGCTCTGTCCTGCTTTCCACTAACATTGGTGTCTGAGCACCTGATGTGGATGGAACCCCCAGAGGACAGAGATCACCACCAGACACCCCCTGAAGGAGCCGAGGTCCAGCTGGTGAAAAGGGAAGGCCCGAAGGCGGGGCACGGGGGACAAGGCCGCTGTGACTGGAACGGACTGAAGTGCGCTGGGAGGACGGTGGGGCAAGGGTCACTCTGCCACTCAGGGGGCTTCAAGGTGGAAGTGGGAGGTGCCTGGGCCCCAGGAGACAGTAGTGGGGCGGGGCAGAGTAGTAACCAGACACCCTGCATCCAAGCTTCTAGCCAAGTGGACCAGGGACCTTGAAGGTAAAGGCAGAGGCCCAGAGCAGAGGGGCCTATGGGCACTCCCAAGAGGTAACAAAGCATCTGAGGATTCCAGCCCAGGACAAGTAGGGTGTGGACAGAATCTCCCCAGCAGACAGTCCACTGCAGGCTCTGGGGCCCCACCACTGGGGCTGGAGACGCACAGCCGCAGTGGTGCCCACTGGCCAAAAGGCCAACCCCAGCACCCAGGACCCAAGGAGCAGCTTCCTGTTGGGGCTGTCCTCAGAGGCCATCCAGGGCTTGCTGGACAGGTGCATCCAGGGAGGTGGCTGAGTGGACAGAGACGCCGGGTGCACCGATGCTGGTTTCCCAGCTGTCAAACCCACAACCGGTCAGGTCCTGTTTGGTGGCCTCCACCACTGGTTGCTTCACATCTGGGGGAGGGAAAGCAGCAAGTCACCACCGACAGTGTCAGCTACCTTGGAGAACACTCAGCCCCACACAAGGAAAAGGCCCTAAAGCAGCTCTTCCTCCTGCCAGGCTCTTCCCAGCTATGATTCCCACCCCACCCACAGTGCAGGGCTGTTCAGAGAGGCCATCTTCGGCCTCTCCGCACACTGGACTGGGCGCCCTGCAGTCCCCCTAGAAACACCAGGATGGGCTGTTAAAAGCACAGACTTTGGGCCCACGAGGATGGCTATGATTTTTTAACAATGGAAAACAACAGATGCCCATTCAGGGAAGTGGAGAAGCAGGAACCTCGTGCATTGTATCCTAACATGGTGAGCCACTGGGGAAACTACGGGGCTGTTCCTCAAAAAGCTGAACATAGAATTACCATAGCTGGGCTGCAAACCCCAAGGTCGGCAGTTGGAGCCCACCAGCCACTACATGGGAGAAAGCTGAGGATTTCTGCTCCCATAAAGATTTATAGCCTTGGAAATCCTATACAGGGTAGCGGGTGAGTAGGAACCGCTTCAATGGCACTCAACAACAACAACAAACTCTACACTCACTGCCACTAAGTTGATGACCCTGTATAGGGTTTGTTGTTATTGTGAAGTGCCATTGAGTCACTTCTAATCCATAGCAACCGTGTATAGGGTTTCCAAGGAGCAGCTGGTGAGCTTGAACTGCCAACCTCACAGTTCAAAGGGCTTTGCAGTCTGGCGCATTAACCCACACGCCACACCACGACCCCATAGTATAAGGTTTGTTGTTGTTGTTAAGTGCCGTCGAGTCGGTTCCGACCCATAGCGACCCTGTACAGGGTTTCCGAGGGTGTAAATCTTTACAGGAGTAGAAAGCCTCATTTTTCTCCCGCGGAGCGGCTGGTAGTTTTGAACCGCTGACCTTAAGGTTCGCAGCCTGATTCGTAACCATAAGGTTTAAGAGGCTGTAAATCTTTGCGGGAGCAGAAAGTGTCTCTCCTAGGGAGTGGCTGGTGGGCCTGAACTGCCAACCTTTCAGTTTGTAGTCCAGTGCTTATCTTATAGCACCACACCTGGGCTACGATGCAGCAATTCCACAAAAGAACTGGAAACAGGGACATAAATAGAGACTTGGACACTGTGCTCATTGTGGCACTATTCACAATTGCCGAAAGGCAGGAACAGCTCCTCTTAACAGAGGATGGATAAACCAAACATGGTACATGCATACAATGGAATATTACTCAGCCAGAAAAAAAGAACAAAGCAGAGACACTGTGCTACTAGGCAGATGAATGTTGAAAACATCATGCTTAGTGAAATAAGTCAGTGACAAGAAGAGAACTACATGACGATTCCAATGGAGAATGGACAAGTGTACAGAGACCAAGATTCACTGGCGATTATCAGGGTGGGCAGGCAGGAGGTAGATGGGAAGCTGCATGAGCATCTGTTAAGGGTGATGGACAATCTGGAGGTCACTATGAGTCGGAACCGCCTCAACAGCACTTCACAGCAGTCATAACAATGGTGTTGGCTTCACAGTAAGGTGAACACTATGAAGGCCAACGAATTATGCATGTGAGGAACGCAGAGATGGCAGATACTGGTATATCTATAAGATACGCGGAGTCCTAGTGCGGCACTCTAGGATAAGCACTGGACTGCTAACTATAAGGTTGGTAGTTCAAACCCACCAGCCGCTCCTTGGAAACCTTATACAGGGTTGCTATGAGTTGGAACCAACTTGACGGCACTAAACAACAATATGAGTATGTATCACAATTCAGGGGGAAAGAAACACTGGCTCTAGAGTCTCTCAGACTTGTCCTATTTACTGACCGTGTAGCCTCTCTGACCCTCAGTCTCCTCATCTGGGAATGGGACCAACACCGATTACCTACCTCTCCAGGGTTCCTGTGAAACCTTTATGAGACTAGACAGTGAAAGGCTTGGCATGTCACATACTCCAGAGATGTAAACTCCACATCATCAACCCTCAACTAGGGACCAGGAGTCCACCAGAAGTTAGGATGTAGCCACCTCCAGAGGTTGGGAGTCCCCACTGTGAATCAGGGATGCCTTTGGGGCTAAGATGGTATTCAGGGCAAAGTAAAGGGGAGAGGAAGGATGGGAAAATAGAAAAGTTGGGGAGAAAGAAGGGGAGAGAGCAGAGAAAGGAAAGCAAACAGGAGTGGACAAACAGCAAGATGTGAACAAGCAGCCAGGCCTATTTATTGAGGACGTCTTGAGGACAGATGTGGGGGTTGGGTGGTGAAACACAACCAAAAGCCCCTGCCTCCCCGGGTCCTGTGAGCCTATAACTGTCGTGTTCTTTCCCCAGAGACCAGTGGGAAAGAAACCACAAGACGGTTGTTTTGTAGCCAAGTCCTGCCCTATCCCAGGAATGTCAGTAATGTGGTCAATGTGAGTGATGGGGATGGCTGGCGCACTTACTTCTCAGGTGGCCAGGTGGCTCTCAGGCAAGGAGGTGGGCAGAGTGTCTACCCAAACCCAGCCTCGACCACCCACCAGGACAGTCCTGCAACAGGCTAACTAAAATGTTCTCCTTGCAAACTAGTTGCTATTATTCTTATTTGACTGATGGGGAAACAAAGGCCCACAGACCAAAGCCAAACCCACTGTTGTGGCAGTGACTCTAACTCCCAGTGACCCTATAGGATAGAGCAGAAGGACTTCACTGAGTTCCTCAGGCTGTAAATCTTCATAGAAGCAGCATGCCGTGTTTCTTCCAAGGGGAGGCTGATGGGTTCAAACTACCGACCTACCGATTAGCAGCTGATCATTGTAACCACCGCACCACACTCATTTGTCTAAGGCCACACAGAGCGGACACTTACTGACAAGTCTCTTTCCTCTCTCATGCCCATCCCCAGTTACCTGGCTTGAGAAGTGTGATGCCACAGCCCCCGCCACCGGCGCCAGTGAGCTTGCTATGCAGTCCATGGGCCATGGTCACCTGGCACAGCTGGTCCAGCGAGGCATGGCCGACCCCGAGGGCGTTCAGATGATGCTGGTTCATGTCCATGAGCTCCTGGAGGAGAAAGTTCAGTTCCCACAGGGACTGCCTGAGGCTGAAGTCCTGGGTCCTCCCACCAGCCCACAGCCTGGACAGCCACTGGGTTGGAACAGGGAGCAGTTGTGACTGCTATCCCACTCCAATGATGAAAGAACACCTCTATGCTGCAGGGCTCCCAGGGGACTTGGATGGAGCGGGGCTCACCCTCCACCATGGTGATGCACACTAATTCCAGGCCACAAAAGCCATGCTGATTGTTAAGAAGAGGTATGTGGCTCAAGCTGGGCCAATCAGGACCCTCCTAGGGCTTGCTCTGCCCCTTTCCCCTAGAACTGCTCAAACTGAGGTATGCTTCCAGAGTCATCCTCTCAGCCACATGGCTGGAGATGACAGGGAAGAAGAGAATAATTCCCAAGCACATACTTTCAGTCCCTGGATCCAGCTATGCCCGAAGCCACTAAGCCCTGGTCTTCCCAGGGATGAACACACAAATGGTCTTTCTATTAAAACTTGGTTAAGGTACGTTTCTTTCATTTGCTAGAGAAAAAATTTCTCAAATAACCTGCCCTGCTACGTCTGCTTTGGGACTGGACTGATATTCACACTAAGAATGGAACTGTAATCCCAGCAAGCTCCTGAGTAGGAGAAGCCGTGCAATGTTTGTTCTAGTTTTCTAGGATATGCATAAGAAAATTCCTGTTCTCCCAAGGATCACGTAAGAGGCAGGTTAATTAAATAATAAAACTAGCACCTTCTAGTAACATATCATTTACTCCACTTAGTGTTTGCCAACTGCCAAAGATGTGCCAGGCACTAAGCTAGCTGTTGGGGCTACAAAAATAAGCCCAGCCTCGGTCCTGGCCACCGGGAAGGCAAGAATGTAGATCTGTGGCCAAGCAGACTTGGGTTTACATCACAGCTCTACCACTTCTTGGTCTGGTGTCTTTGGCCAAGGTCCTTCTCTTCAAACCCTGGTTTCTCCTCTCGTAAAACAGGTATCTACTTCACTGCCATGAAGTCAAAATAGGGCCAGTTTTTCCTATAATGCCTGGTATTGCTTTACAAACAGGGGTTCATCCCATTTTAACAAGGAGAAACTGAGGCTCACAGAGGAGGGTGAATTAAGATCACCCAGCCAGTGAGGTGCCTTTCCACAAGCCTCTGAGCACTCTCAGCATTCTAGTTCCCACCCATTTAGGAGGAGGGGCAGGAGTAGGTCTACAGAGTGCAGTTAAACAGCATGCAGCTCACCTGCCAGTCACCCAGATGTCTCCGCCAACACCCACCTGGTGAGTTGGTCAGCCCTCCCCCACCACCCTGCCTTACACACCCCAGCACTTTTAACAAAGGAGCAGACAGGCATGATGGCCCGATAGCTGTTCACCAGCCCCGTGGGCTGGACGGGAGTGAAAACCTCTCGGGGGGCCTTGCTCTGCGCCTGAGTGCCAGGTGTCACGCTGCCAGTGCAGGTTCCAGACACCTGTCACAGTCTGATCCAAAATCTGTCAAGAATCGGATGACAGGTTGTGACACAGGGGAACAGCTCGCTGGTTTGAGCGTGAAGCTGTCCGGGAGTCGAGTTGCACATTTCAGCGGCTGCCACAGCCAAAAATATACACAATATATAATCAACGTGCTGTTCTGCGGCATTCTCCGGGGGCTCAACAGGGTATATTTTCGACAGTACTCTATCATTATTAATTTCTGACTCAGGGGGACTGTGTTCCCTCCTTTCTATGAAAAGGAATTGAGAGCCAGAAAGGAAAAAGGCTAGGGGATAGAGGCAGACGGCTGGGAGAAGAGAGCAAAAGTACAGGTATTCAATGGCAGCCCTGGGCCTGGCCCTTAGCAGGTGCTCACTGAACTGTCGCTGAAGGAAGAAATAAAAATGTCAGGCAGTTTGACCTCTGGATCTGCCACTTACAAGCTGGCACAAACAAGAGAAAACCACTTTCTTGAGGGCTCTGGCTTTCCATCTGCAAGATGGGGGACGCATACTTGCTTCACATGGGGGTTGCTATGAGGAAATCCTGTGTGAATGGACTGGTATAGAAATAGTTTGCATTCATTACCTGGGCTGCAGGCTTAATGCCTCCAGGGAATGCGGGGAGAGGTGGGGGCAGCAGGTGATGCTGGTAGCAGACTGTGGGGGAAAGCTTAGGGAATAGTGAGAACTGGGGTAAACTGGGAAGGGCAGCCTTTCTGCAGCTCCAGCCATGACGGCCACACAGCCTATGCCCCCCATAGGACTGGACTGAACTCTTAGGACACACCGAGAGGCTAGCAGGGGTGGGAGCATGGATTCACACTCTAGTCAAAGCCACAGTCAGATGTCTCCTTCTCTCGGCTGAAATTGGACAAGTGGTGCTGGAACAATCTCAGAACATATCTGACCCAAAGCAGGCAGTTGGTAAATATTTGCAGAATGGATAAGCAAATGTTGTGAGTAATAATAGCAGGGAAGAGGAAGCCAGGTAAGAAATCAATGTTGATGGAGGGAGGGCTCTATGTCAGCAATGTCCCCGTCCTCCCACCTGGCCCAGCATGCTTTAGTAACATGACCCACAACCACCCAAGGCACAAACCCATGCAAGTCCCTGATAAACTAACAACTGCCTGGGAAGAGGTTTACAGGTAAGACACGCTTGCTCACACTGGCTCACATGTGTGCACATACGACTGCCGGCCCAAGTCAGGGGCTCTGAGCCATGGCCCGGACCCTGATTTAGCACAGGGCTCTTACTTCCAGCACAAGGTACTGCTCCGGGGTGGGGTCAGCAGCCATCTCTCTCAGCACGCGCTCGCACTCCAGGGCAATGGCATCTATCGAAGTGAGCAGGGGGGCCACGATCTCGGGGAACTGGAGGGAAGAAGGGTCTGTGAGGCCTGCCCAAGGCAATGCAAGACACGTGCCCAGCAATTTGGAAGTGTCTCCATACACTATATCCACCCTCTGAGGAACTTGCCTCTCCTTCCTGCCTGGTCTTTGTCCAACCTGGCTGCTCTGCCAACAAGAGGTGAAATCCTGCAAGACCAGGCATCTAACTAGCTAGTTCATCTTCCTCTCAGGAATCCCATCTGGCTGAAGTGTGGCACAGACAGCACCTTGCTCTCTGCCAACACACCTGCCCACCCTCCCCCTTCAGTCCAAATGTGACGACTGCCCAGGGGTTGAACAAAGAGTACCTTGATCAGCCTGTTCCTGACACCAGCAACAAGTGCCTTTGTGCTGCGGGGCACTTTGGTGTTGGTCAACAGTATCTTTAAAGCTGGGGGCCTGCAGGATGAGAAGAGCACAGTCCACACTGAGCCTTCGGCTGGATAAGCTGGGCAGGACTCGGGCACTCCTGGACTCCGTTTTACCCTGTTCAAGAGGAAGAAGCAGATACGTGGGAAGATTCATCACAGAAAGCTGGAGGCTGGGCCAGGGAAGCTCACGCCTACCAGCCCAGTGTCCCCACACCAATTGCAGTGGTCTCCCCACTTCAGTGCCTGGGCACTTTCCTTCAGCTCTTCATTCATTCCACTCTAAGCATCTACTATGTGCGGGGCATGGATCAGGTGTGGGTGGTGGGGCAGGGAGAGGAGAAGGCAGGTGGTCCTTGTAAGCAGAGAACTGAAGGAAAGGTAGGATTTGCCCCTGGTAAAGGCAAAAAGAGCTTGTTTTCAGCAGGGGAATGGCATGCAGAGTCTGGACAAGTGAAGCTGGCCCATTTGTGGGGTGAGATGCTCAGAGTGGCTGCAGCGAAGGTAAAAGTGGGGGAAACCAGAGCGGATGCAGAGGCAGCATGTGGCCTGGGCCAGGAAGTTGGAGTAGAAGTGTCGAGGTTCAGAAAGAAAACCCAGTCAGTCTCAGGATGGATTGCACAGAAGGGGTGCAAGGGCAAAAGATGCCAAGGTTAGTGGGAGCAGGGGACACTATTCAGAGGCGAGCAGAAGGAAAGGGGCCCTGCCTTGATGGAGCCACACCCAGAGGTCCAGGCATAAAACCAGATACAGCAACAGAGCATCAGGCCCCCTGAGTGGCCCCAGAAAGCTGACTCGTCTACTGCCCCTACTCTGTTGTCAGCTGCCAGGCAGTCAGTTCCTACTCACAGTGACCCTGTGCACAACAGAAGGAAACACTGCTGAGTTCTGCACCATCTTCTTACCGTTATGTTTGAGCCTATCGTTGCAGCCACTGTGCCAATCCATCTTTTGGGTTTCTTCCTCGTTTTCACTGACCCTCCACTTTACAAGTATGATGTCCTTCTTCAGGGACGGGTCCCTCCTGATAACATGTCTGAAGTATGAGAGATGAAGTCTGGCCATCCTGGCTTCCAAGGAACCTTCTGAATATACTTCTGCCAACACAGATTTGTTTGTTCTTCTGGCAGTCCATGGTACTTTAAATATTCTTCTCCAACACCATAACTCAAGTGCATCAATTCTTCCATGGTCTTCCTTATTCATTCATGCATCTGCGGCAATTGCAAGTACCATGGCTTTGGACAGACACATCTTCGTCCTCAAACTAACATCTTTGCTCTTGAACACTCTGGGTAACCCACTCTAGGTGCCCTATAATCCCTCTTCACTTCACCTACCCGGAGTGTCCTGTGGTTAGCTGTCTTGGGGACTGCAGAGACCACCTCCCATCATCCCGACCTGCCTTTGGCATGCTGCAGGCTGGGATGGAGAACAGAGAAGGGGCTGAGCTCTGGCCCAGACGGCTGAAACTGGGCAGACCCCTTGATCCTTTATGTGCTTTTCTTTTCATGGTTCATGAGGATAAAATCCAATCGGACAGGGACAGGCTGCCAGAGCTGGCTTTATCCCACCGCCCATAAGCCCATGAAATTAATATCGATTCTCAGCCGTGGAGGCTGGGTCCTTCTCTTTTTTTTAAACTTTACAAAAGATGAACATTCTATTTGACTTTTTTTTTCTTCCCTTTAAAGACAAGCTGTTCTTCAAAAGGGCAGCGTTCTGGGAGGCCACATCTTGATCTACTTCCAAACAATACATTTTCTCATGGAGAAGCACGAATTGGTGTGTGGGGGCCAGAGCTCTTTATAAGCCATCCGTGGGATTAATGTGGAGCCTGCCCTCCCTGCTTCCCAGCAGCCCCACCATCTGCTCATGGGAGTGCCTGTAGGAAGCTGAGAAGGTGGCTTTGCTCCCTGGCCTGTCTGTCAGGGTGGGAGGGGATTGTGCACTGTGTCTTCATCTTTCTTAGAGCGCCTACATTCGGCGACCACCACTGAGACCTACATTGTCATACGTGTTGTCTGTACATATATGGTCTGGCCACCCCTCCAACTCCTGCCCCTCATCATTCATTCACTAGGCCCCTCTGGGCCTCTTGGCTGCTCCTCACACCAGCATATTCCTGCCTCAGAGCCTTAGCGCTGCTATCTCCTTCAGTTCCCTGCTCAAATGTCACCCCGGAGTGTTCTCCTCCATGTACTAGCCCCTCACCCCGTGTTATGGATTCCCTCATACCTGTGTATATGGCCCTTTTGGAAACTGTTTTATTTGTTATGTGAACAAGGCCCTGTCAGGGTTTGGTGTGTCCCACAGAGTCAACTCTGAGTTATAAAATAGAGAGGCTGTCTTCCCCAGAAGCCAGCGTCCTTACTTCAGACTCCTGACCGGTGACTTTTGGTGAGGAAACCAAGACACCCGGTGTTATGTTTCCTAAGGACGCTGTGACCACCTGATGTTCACTCTGAGACAGAGGGCTCACAGAGCTCAAGCACTCGGCCGGTCTCCCTTCAGATATCCCTGAGTCCCCAGTAAGGATGTGAAGAAACCAGACCCCAGGAGAAGTGACTGACCCAGGGTCACCATTCTGGATGCCCGGGACACGTCTTAGTTGGTGCTCAGGATATAAGTGGCTCTCAGAAAACATGGGCTGAATGAAGTGCTGCTAGTTTTATCACACCCTCCAGAGCCCTTGTGATGGCCCCCTACCCCAAGCTTCTCTCCAAGGATCAGTTATAACAGCCTCCCCCAGCAGATGGTGGACTTGGGAGGGCAGGCCCAGGCCCAGACGTTCTCAATTCTCCACTGCCTCCCATCCTGGCTCCATGTGGATTCCCTAAGTTGGCAGAGCCAACTCCTCGCTGGGCTTCCAAATTTCCTCTGGCATCGGAGCCACGAGCATCTAGAGGGAGCTCCTCCGTGCTCTGAAATGGCTGAGCTCCCCTCCTGTGAAGGGCAGAGGTTCTCACCTAGAGCTATTTGCTCTGTGGGAGACACGTGCCTGCGTCTGGAGACAGTTTCCGTTGTCCTAGCTGGGGAAGGAGGTACTACTGGCATTTACTGGGAAGAGGCCAAGATGCCACTAATCATTCTATAGTACATAAGACAGTCCCTCTACAAGGAAGTCTGCAGTTCCACTGTCAGTTATGCTGAGGCTGAGGAGCTGGGCACCGAGGCTCAGAAAAGGCAGGTGTATTTCTGAAAGTCAACAGAATGGGGATAGGAAGCTTCAGAGGTATAGGCAGGGGCACTGAGCCACTTGTGGGGTGCCCCAGCTGGCAAGAGCAATGGGTCAGGACCTGCTGCCCATCTGGAAGTGAGAGAGGGAGGGGCTTGGTACCCTCTCAGCCATGGAAAAATCCACTGAGGTGGCCAGATGCCCTGGGACAATCCTACACCCGTCTGGGACAAATTTGACCAAGGACTCAGGGAACAGCCAAAATGTTTCTGCCATGATGTTTCTATCCCAGCTCCTGACGTTTCCACTGTAGTGTGCACATCCCGAAGAATGTGGACATGTGACTGATAGAATCTCTCATCCACATGCATAATAAAATGGCTGCTTGCCACGCTTTAGCTTTAGCTCTCCTTCCTGGAACCTCTCTTCCTACCTACTGGAACTTCCTCTCTCTACCTGCAGGGCATCCCTAGTCAACCTATCACCTACCTCCACTACTCTCAACCCCGCCCTCTTTAACCAGTATGAAAATCCCTCTCCAGCAACATGCGCTCTTTCTTGCTCTCTTTCCTCCTGACCCTCAATAAAGCCTTACACATGGGTGTTTGTGTTCCGGCTCATTCCATCTCACAGTGATATATATGTTGTCCGTGGTGACAATGACCCAGAGGGAGAGGGTAGACAAATGTATGAAACGGGCTCTAAGATGCCAAACTTCCCCTCTGTGCTAAGCCTTTGTCAAGTCTCTGCCATTGGGCCTAGCTTCAGCATTCTGACATTGTGTGCTAAGGGTATTTGTGTGCCTATCTGCCCCCAGCCTTCACCAGCAGACAGAGCTCTCAGAAATGGGGCCTGAGATTCGTCTCTCTCTAGGCTCCAGCACAGTCAGGAACACAGAGCACGCTCAACTCTTGTTTGCTCACCAGCTAGACAGCTGACTGAATGCATGGATGAACCAGCAGGCCAGAGATGGCGGGAACAGCCAGTTTCTGGAGGGTGAATAGGGTAGATATGCGTGACTTCCCCTTTTAATCTCTTGGCAATTGAAGTGGAGAAGAAAAGAGCAATTGTCACCTCATACGCTCTTTGTGAGGGTCACTTAGGGGGAGGGAAAGCCCAGAACCCTCCACAAAAAGAAGAGAGCGTTCCCAGCAGCCCTGCCGGGTGTCCTGCCCCACCCAAGACTCACCTCTCCAAAGATGAAATCTGTCCTTGCTGGTATCGGAGTGCTCCTCCTAAGAAGACAAGTCAGCTTAGAGTGGTGGAAAGGATGGTGGGCAGTTGTCTCTTAGGACAAGGTTCGATTCTGGGCTGGGGTTAGAGTTTCACCCCATTCAGGGCACAGGGTAAACAACAAAACTAGTCTCCTCTGCTTCAGTCATAAAAGGGCCAAGCTCAGTGGGGCTGCTCATGACAAGGCTGTGGGCTCTGCTCAGACAGGCCTGTGTTGAGGGCAGGGCCCATCAAGCAAGAATCGCCTCACTGAAGGGGACACGGGCACTTGGGTTTGTAAGCCTCACATCAACGGTTCCGCAGCTTTAACAAAGGATTCTGCTGGGGGCCCAATGAAACTACAGATTCCCAGTCCCTCGACCCCCATTCGGATTTGGTGGGTGTACACTAAGGTCCAGACATCGCTCCCATTCCCAGCATGGGAACATACTACTTTCCTCAGGATCCACAGCTTCTATTCCTTCCCCACTCAGCTGAAGGAATCAGAGAACTACAATAAAGAAAGCAAACCGAAGGTAGCACATACCCCAGGTACTGACAGCATTATCCACTCCAGAGGGGTTCCCATGAATCACCCTCTCCCCCTGAAAGGCCCACTTGTTAATTAATTCCAAATCCTCCTTGGTCCACCTGCAGAAGACATAGAAATCGATCTTTACCATGGGGTGGGGGGGTGGGGAGGGCAGAATGTAGAGGTTGTATATGTGATGTGGTGGAGTCTAAGAGACAAAGGGGTTTGGGACCTCAAATTCAGAAAGAGGAGAAAAGGAACTGCCTGGGCCCTAGGGAGCAATTCTACTCTGTGCTATTTGGGGTGCCATGAGATGGAATTAACTGCACAGCACCAGGCGGGGCAGAGATGGTACCAGATCATCACCCCACTGAACTCTCCCCTAGGGCACAGTGGGAAGAACCTGGACTTGGCAGTCCCACAGTGCCAGCTGGCCTCCTCTAACTGAGTGACTCTGGGCGTGCCACCTACCCCCGCCCCCGCCCCAAGCCTCGCTCCCCTCCCTTGTCAGATGGTAACGCCCCTGCTCCTCTATGGTGCGCTGTAAATGTGCTAGTGCAGCAAAGCCCTTACAAGGGCTCCACACACGACCAGTGCTGATTATTGCTATACTAGAGTCCCACCTCAGCCTACTCCTGGGCCATGCCTAACTTAAAGAGGAGCGTGCGGAGATGGGGCTTCCCCAAAGCCCTGCAAGTCGGACAGATGCACCATCACGTCGAATTAGAATCCCAAGTGCCAAGACCCCTCTGAGGATCAGGTCTGTCCAGCCATCTCCGCAGCTCTCCCAGTGCCTTCCCTGTCAGGAGTGGGGTGAGCTCATTGAGTCTGCTCAGTGAACAAGAGAAAAAGGAACAGGTCACAGCTACTCTTTCCTCTCAATTCTCTTCCCTATAAAATAGGAGAAGCCTGGCCTGCATGGCTGAAACAGTAAGCTTGTTCCAAGTCCCTTCCTACCACTGGGCAAGCGGTTTTATCTCTGACCCTCTGTTTCCTCATCTGGAAAATGGGGATTGTGTTGTCTAACTCATAGAGGATACTGCGAGGTGGGGAGAACACACAGGTGCTCTGTATAATGCTCAAGAGGTAGTGTGAGCTCAGAGGGGGGAAAAAAAAGGGTGGGGGCACCTGAGATCACAGCTCCTGCATTCCCTCTATTTGCTGTCGAGCCTAGGGCAAGTTAATTACCCTGTCTGAGCCTTGCTCCTCATCTGTGAAATGAGGAGGATATGATTGACCTACCACTTCCACAGTGCCTGTGAAGCCATGACCAACCATGAGAGACCAGTGCTGTTGACACCGTGTGCCTATTACCATGCCAAATGTTTCCTGAAATGGGCCATCTCCTTTCAACGTCACAATACTCCCATAAGGCAGTACAGTTACTCTCTCGCCCCTGCAGAAGAGGACACGGAGGCTCAGACATACAAAGTAATGTCCTTGGTCTCTCAGGGCTCCTCCTTGCTACATCACAAGCATAGCCTCTGACTGAAGCCTGGGTTCCAACCACTGACCCTCACTGTCCCAGTGAGACTCACCGACTCATTCATTCATCAAGTCCTTACTGAGCACCTACTCCCAGCAGGTACAGATAGACGTGGTCCTGGCTTCCCAGGCTAGAGTAAGCGGAGGGGTGAGTCACCAGTACTGACACACACTGGGGCGGCGGAATGGAGGGCTCAGAGGGAGAGTCCATGCTCAACAAGATCCTGACACTGGGGGTAGGCAAGAGCCCTGCAGCTGGTGGGCGTGGCCTGTGAAAGGCAGCAGCGAGTGAGCAAGACAGGATGAGTAACCCAGGTGAGCTACACCTAGCCAAGGCCTGGCACATTAATTCTGCAGAGTTCTTCCTTCAGGGGAATTGGATTCCCAACCAACTCTTCCCTGGAGATTGGGTCCCAGGTCCTTTTGGTCCAGGGATGCTGGGAACATATGGTAGCCTCTTCTGAGGCTCTCAGAAGAATGAGTGGACCTTCGGCAGAAGGCCAAGGGTAGAGGAATGGGTAAGGACAGCATGGGAAAGAGCCCCCTCGCATACACCACACGCATCCTGCCTTTTGAAAGGCCAGTGTGTAGGCCTTCATTAATCCCGGTTATAATCAGCAATTAGCACACAGTGGTGAGTAGCTGACTCCTGTCTCTCTCCTGAGTCACCATCTTCTCACAAGATAACCAAATGTCAAGGCTTGAAGGACACACACTATTGATCAATCTAGGCCCCTCATTTGCAGAGGAAGAAATGAAACCTTGGAGAGAAGGGGTTGCCCCAGGCCATGCAGCCAGTGAATACGGTGAATACGCAAATCTTACTGAGATTCTTGAAAATCCTACTCAGTATTACCTGAGCAGTGGTAGGTCGGTGCCTACCTTCATCCATTAACTGCTGGATGCCTTCCTCGCTGACAGCCACCGCACCTCACCCCCCACCCCCAAGCCATTCAAAGTCACTCTGGTTAATGCAAACAGAGATGTAACATCAACAGCCTTCAGATCTACTGTGGCTGAGGATCAGGGTGAGTTTTGGGTTTTCTCTGCATCCCACTGTATTTTAACCTCCACGTCGCAGGAAATAAACTAGCAGCACGGCTTTCATCAACTGGTTCTTCCTGGTTCAATTAAGGTCAATGAAACAAAATCTGAACTGACCTGAATTTGTAAAAGATGGCTGTACTGCAAGGTTAACCAGAACAGGAAAAATTATAGGTCAATGCCTGCTAGAAATGTAATCTCCCTACAACTCCACGGCACATAACCACCACCACCACTAGAAAACAGCATGTGCATTAACATGCAACTGAATCTCCTGAGCTGGAGAGCAGGAAACAGTGGTGCCGTGCGCCGAGATGCCGACCAACTGCATCGTTTTGAACGTGTCCCTCACCTCAGTTCTAGCAGTAATCCAGACTCCCACCTCAGGCCCTGAGGGCTCACTATACCTCTTTACAAGTCTCCCACTCCAGGGCTTCGATTGGTAACTTTTCCTGCTCCAATTACTTTTTTAGTTGTTGTTAAGTGCTGTCCAGTCAGTTTTGACTCGTAATGACTCTATAGGGTTTCTAAGGAGCGGCTGGTGAGCTAGAACAGATGACTTCACAGTTCAAACCAACCTTGCAGTCCAGTGCATATCCTACAGCGGCCACACCAGGACTCATTTTTTTATTAACATACACCCGTTTTAGAAGTTTGGATCTGATCTGATTTCAGTGTGGCTGAACAGTTTGAAACCTTTATCGTCAGTCTTGATAGAAACCCTAACTAGGCACCCAACAGGGCCTGGGAAAAAGGAAAGCCATGGCATTTTCAGACCAGCAACAGAACTCAACACTGAAAACCAAGCCCAGGAAGAGAATAGGCTTCTTTGGCGGTAGGCACGGCGCGCTGTTCTTCAGGTCTTGTTCCACTTTGTGGCCCTGCGGTTACTGTGAGGTTGTGGGGCTCTGTGTAATGATGACACACAGCTACGCTCAAGATGGTACCCAGCTCTGTCTGATCAGCCTTCTCTTCACTGACCGGACATAAGAAACCAGCAGTGGCCTCAAGCAACACAGCTGACCTCCACACTCAAGTCTCAGAAAGCCCTCAGTCAGAGGTTTCCCTCCTGCGTGGTGGGCTCAGGTGGACGCCTCACAGAGAAGCCGCCAGGTGGGATTCTGGGGCCACCTGCACTCCTCCTATGGTCCAGAACAACTGCATGACTTCTGTCCCTGCAGTGGTTTCTCAATGAGCATTGCCCAAATGACAAGTGGTCTGATGTCACCTCTGTCCTAATGTGCTTCACTGCCTTACAGGCTGCTGCAGAGAGTCACAGAAGGGACACTTGTTCCAGGGAGACGAGGACAGCGGGCCCAGCAGGAAGACGACATCTTAATCTAGGAGATTTGCTTCCTGACACTATTTCATGAAAACAGGATACTTTTTGTTCCTCATAGTCTGGTGCAAAGGCCCTGGGGTGGCTTTGTGCTCATCTGGAAACCAAAAGGCTAATAGTATGGACCCAGCCAGTGGCACTGCAGAAGAAGCAGGCCTGGAGAGCTGCTTCCATCAAGATGGCAGCCCACAAGCCCTAGAGAGCTGCTCTGCACTCTAACTCCTGGGGTCTCCTAAGCCACAAATAAACCACAAAAACAAAATCAACAACGTAACAGTCTGGTACAACCTCACAACATGACATTTTATGAAAGACGAAGTGGATGCTCTGAGTTGTGCGGGCTATATGTGTGTGGAGGGGCGGGGCAAGGTCTCACAGTAGGTCAATGGCAGGTTCATATAACCTGCTGCCTTCTACATCCATCCCCCCATTTTCTACCACACCACAGGCACTTAAATCCCAGAGTGTCAAGGAGGTGGGGGAGCAGTGAGGAACAGAAGTAGCTTAGACTGTAGCTTAGACTGTACTCACTAGCTGTGTGGCCTAGGGCCAGCCACTTGCCCTCTCTGTACTGCAGCGTCCTCATCTGTAGAATGGATGCCTTTGCACCACTCTCTTCACATGGCTGTGGGGGTTTCTCAATGAGGGCAAGTAAAAAAAATATTGATACAAAAATCAGAGTGATTTACTAAATAAAGATATCAACAGGTGAAGCTATTGTTTCTCGACCTATCCCCTATCTAGTTCTGTACACTTCTGAAGGTGGTGTTTCCATCTCTCTAGCCCGTCCCTGAAGAATTCTGTGCCCTTCAATTTACACCACATCAAAACAGCAGTGTAGCATCCTCCAGGGACTCAAATTACATTTCTTTTCACTGTTCTTTGAATTTTGGAAACAAAAAGAAATCTGAAGGGGCGAGATCAGAGCTGAGTAAGGTTTCCCAACGAATTCTCATAGGACAGTCCTTGCTGCTCTAGAAAAATGACCAGGTGCATGGTCATGACGGGAAAACGTCTCAGCACAGTTTTCCTGGCCTGTTTCTCCCCAATGCAGTGCTCAGTTTTCTTAAACCTTCTTCATAAGTGCCTGTGCTGGGCCTGTTTCCTTAGAGTAGATCTATTAAGGTGACCCCTTGGGAATCCCCCCAAAACAACCACTGTAACCTTCTGAGCTGACCTCTCTTCAAGACCTGGACTGACCCAGCAGATGCCCTTGAAAGCCACTGCTTTGACGGGTCTTTTTTATTTTTTAGGTAACTTAACGAGACTAGGACAAGTATATTCCTGAGAGAACGTGTCTGAAGCCATCCATGAATCACAGAGATACATGTTTGGGATAAACATGTATGAGTAGGAACCCCAAGATCAATTCTCTGATGTACCCCCGTACCTGCGCAATCCCCAGTGCACAGGAAGGACAGTGACCAGGGAGAAGAAACGGGATTACCTGCTGATGGGATCACCGTCCTTCAGTGGGTTGGGGATCTGCTCACACACAGTCAGCAAGGCGGCTGCCAGACACACTGAGAAGGCAGCACTGGAGCCCAAGCCCGCCCCGGTAGGCAGCTCTGACCACACCACAATGTCCAGGCTTGGCAGGGTCCTGCAGTGGAACAGGATATAATGTGTAACTCTCTCACTCTTTTTAAAAAACATTTTATTGTGATTTGGGTGAAAGTTTACGGAACAAATTGCTTTTCCATTCAATAATTTATGTAGGTCTTATTTTAAAACAACGACTGAAAGAGAGACTCTTCTGAGGGCAGTGAGGGACCTTCAATGAACCAGGGGGAAAGGCCCAAGACCTGATGCTAAGCATTTGGCCCAGTTTTCTGTACTTTTGGAGATTTCTCAATCCCAAAGGCATCCCCTATTGGATGGTGGGAACTTGTGGCAAATCACACAACTTGAAAACAAGCCTCATTTATCTCAACCATTATATTATCAAGCAGGTCTCGTACTTCTCGAAATTCCTACCTGTTCCCTAAACATGTTCTGTGGTCCTGCCCGTAGCACATGCTGATCCCTCTGTCTGGAATAGCCTTGTTCCCCTTTGCTCCGCTGGTGGCACTATGTATGGATTAGGTGTTGGGCTGCTAACTGCAAAGTTGGCAGTTCAAACCCACCAGCTACTCCAGGGAAGAAAGATGAGGCTTACAGTCTAGGAAACCCCATGTAGGGTCTATGAATCGGGATCAACTTGATGGCAATAGGACGCTCTGATTTTGGTTTTGTCTCCCAGGGAAATTCCTACCTATCCTTCAAGACCCTTCTAAACTGTCACTTCCTCTGTGAAGCTAATCCCTGACAACCACAAAGGCAATTCCCCACACTCATTTCTAATCTCCAGCACGTGATCTTGCTCCACCATGGCAGCCACACTGCCCTGCACTGTGTTCACATGGAGGCCTCTCCCATCGGACAGTGCTTTCCAGTCACGTGCACCACAGGTCTGCTCTTGATAACAGCCAAGCTCAGAGTCACCGCCTCATATGTGTATGCCCCTAACAGAGAAGTACCACATGCCATATTTTGTCATTTCACTTAGATACTTTCCCCATGTTCCAATGACCAAGTTGAATGTGCCTATCAAAGTGCACAAGCCCCTCCCAGGAGATTCTGGCCTGTCCCCCGAGAATGGGGACACACCTCTCTCAGGGTGAAGACAGCAAGCATCAGGATACTCCCAAATGTGCACGGCGTGGCACCAGTGTCGCTGCACAAGTGAAGACCTGCCCCGAAGGGTTTCCCTTTAAGCTCTGCTAGACCCAGTACAGAGAACACTTCTAATCCTCCAAGCAGCTCTGAGGAAGCTTAAAAATCAAAATAGCTAACCTTAGCAAGCTGTATGCCAGGCACTGTGCTTTACATAAACAAATTCATTTGACCTCATCAATACCTATGAGGCAGGTACTATGTGTGCTCCCATTTCACAAATGAGGAAGCTGAGGATCCCAAAGGACTTGAGTGCGCTAGGGAGTGCCACACAGTCTGAATTTCAAGTCCACACTCTCACACCAGGTGACGCTCCCTCAACAATCCTGTCACCCTCATTGAGCAGCCTCTTAAAGGACACAACACTCAGAGCTTCTCATAGGAGTGACGCTGAAGGTGCCTTTCAAAGTCACTGAAGTCAGTGAGAGGAGGGGCAAAGGTGCCTCTGCCAAAGCCACACAGGGGATCCAAGAATGATATCTGGCTTTTTGGTTCTATTGAATGGAAGAGACCAGGGGTGGCAGGTGGGGTCAGCAACATAAATATTTCATCACTTAAACAAGAAAGAGACAAACAATGCAATTTAAAAATGGGCAGAAGACACTAACAGGCACTTCACCAAAGAAGACATGCAGACGGCCAACAAACATAGGAAGAAATGCATGTGATTGCTAGTCATTTGTTGTTGTTACGTGTCCTCCAGTTGGTTCTGACTCATGGTGACCCTGTATAGGATTTCTGAAGCTGTACATCTTGGTGGGAACAGAAAGTCTCATCTTTCTCTCCTGGAGTGGCTGGTGGGCTTGAATGACCAACTTTGTGGCTAACAGTCTAGTGCTTATCCTACAGAGCCGTTTTTTTTAAGTGCCATGGAGTTGATTCTGACTCATGGATAGAGTTTCTGAGGCTGTACTGTAATCTTTGCAGGAGCAGAAAGCCTCTAAACAGATGCAAATCAAAACAACAATGAGACATCATCTCATCCCATTGCAAAAATAACACAAAACAACAAATGTCGGCAAGAGTGTGGAGAGAATGGAACCGTCATCCACTGTTGGTGGGACTGTAGCATGGTCCAAGTGCTGTGGAAAATGATGTGGCACTTCCTCAAAAAGTTGGAAACAGAAATATTATATGACACAGCGATCCCTCTACTTGGTATCTATCTACAAGAAATAGGAGCCATATCTATACAAGCAGATATATGCACACCCATGTTCATCACAGCACCCTTCACAATAGAAAAAGATGGAGTCAATGGAAGAATGGGTAAACACACTTTGGTAAAGCTATACAACGTTAAAAGAATAATGGTGATCTGAGCAACAATTCATAACATGGCTGAACCTGAAGGACATTATGCTGAGTGAGATTAGTCAATCACAAAAGGACAAACATTGCATGAGACCACTATTGTAAAATGTTAAGAAAAGAAGCATTCTTTAATAGTTACCAGGGGTGGGGAGGGAAGGGGAGTAAGTTCTGTGCTGTCGAGTTGGTTCCGACTCATAGCAACACTGTATAGGGTTTCTGTAGCTGTAAATCTTTATGGGAGCAGAAAGCCTCATCTTTCTCTCACAAAGCAGCTGGTAGATTAGATCTGCTGACCTTACAGTTAGCAGCCTAACTCGTAACCTACTATGCTACCAGGGCAGATGCGTTACCTTGAGTGAAGGGGAAGGCAATATACATTAAGAGGGAAGTGGGCAAAAACAAAGAATATAAATGTTGGTATTATTCTGAGCCTCAGTTTCCCTGAGTGTAAAATGAGGATAATGCTTCTCTCACAGAGTTGCTAGGTCTAACAAAAGAAGAACATATAAGGAACAAAACTCAAAACTATAAAAAAGACCAGACTGACTGGTCAGAAAAGAGACTGGAGGAATCCGAGACTGTGACCTTCAGGTCTGAAATGGAAGTCACCCTTGTGGCCCAATTTTCAGGGGGACAACAACACTCGTGAGGTATGCTCACCATTTAAGATGAAAAGGGCAACATTGATCTAAGGACAAAGTTCAGAAGGGCTGGGAGGGATGATGGAATGGAAACAGGAACCACAGGGAGCAAGTGGGATAACCGTTACTACATGGAAGGGATTGCAATCCCTAAGATAAACAACATTTATGATTTGTTGAATGAAGAACTGATGATCTGCTTTGTAAACCTTCATTCACTTCACAACAAAAAGTTAAAAAGAAAAACAGTAACATCTAAGAAGCAGCTAGTGTGGTGCTTGGCATGTGATGGGGACAGTGGGGGGCTGTCTGTGTCCACAGCCTAAAAGGAAGCAAGTACCTTTTCCAGCAGCAGCAACTTGAGAAACCCTCCCAATGACCTGGCAAGGCGGAACATGAACAACTTTCCCCCACCATATACAAACCTCTGTTTCCGGCAGATGGACAGGTACAAGTAAAGGAAAGCCAGTAGAGCCATGCATTCATTGAGGGGACAGTCCTCAGAGAAGCCTGCCACCTCCTTCAACTTCTCCACTTGCTCTGGGCTGGGCGCTGTGATGTCACCTTGTTCTGTCACAGAGACATACAAGCAGATGGATGAGAATGTCTCCGGGGCTTTTATAAACACCAGCATGCACACCATGGAACGGCTATCTGGATGGACAGAAAGTCATGGTTCCCACCCCACACTTGGATCTCTCGGTCTACTTTCAGGCTTTGGAGGCAGATAGACTTGGCTGAGTCCTAATTGTGCCATTTGATGATGGCTTTGTGGCCATGAGCAGTGACTTTACCTCTTTGAACCTCTGTTCCCTTCCTTGGTTAAAAAGGGACCACAACAGCAGTGTCGCCTCATGGGGCTGTCATGAAGACAAAGTTAAGTAAGGTTTGCCACAGCACACATAGGAAGAGTATAACTAATAGGAGTTTAAACGCAAACATACACACACACAGTGAACACTAGCTTGATCACTTCTTAAAGGCCTGATGTGACAGTTATGGTTTTGTGTCTACTTGGCTGAGTCCGGATTCTCAGTGATTTAGCAGTTATGAAGTAGTGATCCCCTCCAGGAGGCTATCTAATAGGATATAATCACTCCCACGATATGGTCTGATGTCACCAGCCCTGGCCACATGTCGTTATCCTGTGTGTGGTCACTGTAGGAGAAGCACTGGACCGCAAGGCCGGCGGTTCAAACTCACCAGCTGCTCCTCAGAAACCCTATACAGGGTCAGTATGTGTCAGAACCAACTTGACAGCATTTAACAGCAACAACAACAAGATGTTAATGTGGCCAGATGCAAATCCCTGTGTCAATCTCTGGAGATAGAATAAACAAGCAAACAGAGCGGAGGACCTACTATCATCAAGAAGAAGAGCTGGGAATGGAATACATCCTTTGGACCTGGGGTCTCTCCACTGTGAAGGTCCTATATCCAGAGCAAGATTGATGCCAAGACACATGGAGCTCTCCAAGGAAGGCTGGCTCGACTGAAAGGAGACCACGACCTCTTTCCAGAGCTGGCTCTCTGAATTCAGACTCCTAATCTCATAAGCTGTGACCGGTGTCCTGGTGTGGTGCTGTAGGATAAGCACTGGTCTGCTAGATAGATTTGAACTGCAAGGTGGTGGTTCAAACCCACCAGCCGCTCCTCGGAAACCCTGTACAGGACTCAACAACACTTCACAATAACATCCTTACTAATTATGTCTTGGAAGAGGGGACTCCTTTGGGAATGCTTAATACTTCCTTTTAGTCGTTTTTGTACTACAAAGATCAAACTCAGGTGCCTTCGTTCTCTAGCACCTGCTATAACAGAAATAACCACAAGTGGATGGATGACTTTAACAAACTGATCTCTCTCAGTTTGTTCTTGTGAAGTTCCATTGAGTCGGTTCAGACTCATAGCAACCCTGTATAAGGTTTCCAAGGAGCGGCTGGTGGGTTTGACCTGCTGACCCAGTGGTTAGCAGCCCAGTGCTTATTGACACCAAGATCCAATTAGTGAGTGTGGTAGTTAGTGGTGGTTGTGTGCCATGGGGTAAGTTCTGTATAGGGTTTCCGAGGTTATAAATCTTTATAGGAGCAGAAACCCTCATCTTTCTCCTGCAGAGTAGCTGGTAGTTTTGAACTGCTGATCTTGCAGTTAGCAGCCTGATTCGAAACCACTACGCCACCAGAACTCCTTAGTTAGTGAGTGTAGGGCACTCTGATAAAATCAGTGATTTTGAAATGTTGGGATTTGCTTGGGCAGGTGGGGAAGGTTAGGTAGCAATTTCTCTCCCAGTCACGTGTAGGAGGCTGGGCCACTTTCCTGAGATGCTGAGCAAGTCTGACCAGCTCACCGGTTCTAAATTACACCCGAGCCCTGGGGCGGATTCTAAGTGAATATGATGCTGAGTTGGGTGTGCCTATGTTAGGAAACTTTAGTGTATATATGAAGTCCTCGAGAAATTCCGGCCCACCAAATTAATGACACATTAAAGGCAGGGAAGCCTGAGATAAGTATTGTGGAGAGCCCAGACATCTGCGTTCTCTCATGGACACAGAAGAGTCATGAAGAGCCTGGGCTCTGGAGTTTAGAAAAGCCTAGGGCTGAGTGCTTTCTGTATCACTGACAACCTGTAAGACCTAAGCCACTTGGCCTCGCTGAACCTCAATTCCCTTACCTGTAAAATGGAGAAGAATAACCCCATCTAGTTCCAGGGAAGGCTGGAAAACCCTGAGTTCAGCATAATGTAACACACCGAGCTCAGTGTCTGGTCCAGATAAGTGTCCAGGAAACACTCACTGTGCTTACTGCTAATATGAGAGAATGAAAATACTCAAAGAAAAAGATGCCAGACCCTGGCAACCCAGTGTAAAGCATGTGTCCAAAGGCTCAAATTCCTTCTGACTCCTAGGAGAAGGAAAACAACAAGCTATCCCCCATGCCCAGGACCCCACTCTATCTCACAGTCCTAGTGCCACCTCCAATCCTGGTGGATGCAAGCCACACTCAAACAACTGGACTCTGCTCCCTGAGGCTCAGAGAGTTAAGGGACCTCTGCAGGGTCACACAGGAAGTCAGGAGTGATCTGGAACCAAAAGTCACTGGAGATATACCCCAGCACTCTTGGCTGCTTCCACCACAAGCTACTGACCAGTAAAGGAGCAGCCTCTTTGAAAATCTGCATCTGAGAGAGCATTTACTCAGCAGCTGGGATTGGATTGCTGAGTTCCAAGTGATGAAAAGAGCTTAAGGCCTGTGTTTTGTGCCACATGCCTTCTGAGGGACCACTTCAGGCCTGACTGTACACCATCACCACAAGTCCCTATAACCAGCAGTCTTCTGAGCCCTACTCCAAACAGGTAGCCAAGCACAGGCTGTCCCTAGAATCACCCAGGAAATCCCTTTCAAAATTCACCTTTCCAGGCCCAGACCATCACTCTTCATTCTCAACAGGAGAGAGGCAGAGGCAGAAATCCCTGTGAATTGTTTAAAAAAAAAGAAAACAAAACCACTGTCCCAGACACAAAGTCAGTCTCAATAAACTTTACAAGACTGAAATCATACACCTCTTTTCTAATCACAATGAATGAAACCAGAAATTAGTAACAAGAAGAGAACTAAAAACTACACAGATACGTGGAAGCTAAACATACTACTCAGTAACCAACAGGAGTCCTTGGTGGTGCAAATGCCTAAGCGCTGAACTACTAATTGACAGGTTGGTGGTTCAAAGCCATTAAGGGCTGTCATGGAAGTAAGATCTGGTGATTTCCTACCACAAGAACGCTGTGGAACAATTCTACTCTATACCACAAGGGGGCCCCATGAGTCAGAATCAACTCAGCAGCAAGCAACCAAACAGATCAAAGAAGAGAGAAATTCAACAACAACTTATTCAAATAAGAATGAAAAACCAAGGTCCCCAAACAAAGGGCATACAAGCAAAATTTATAGCACTATATGCCTATACTAAAAAAAAAGAAAAATCTCAAATCCTCTTATTTCTACAACTTGAAGATTTAGAAAAGGAAGAACAAACTACGCCCAAAACGATGTGAAGAAAGAAAACAATAAAGAACAGAGCAGGAAACAGCCTCCCCGGGTAATACCAAGACATGACTGAGGCTGAAAAGGGGTCACTCTAAAATGGGGGCATGATGGAATGAATTGTGTCTCCTCCAAAAAATAAACGTTGTAAGTCCTAACCCCTGGACCTGTTGCTATCATCTCCCTTTGGGAATGGGTTTTCATTGTCAAGAGGCCATATCAGTGCAGGGTGTAGTTCAAACCAGTAACATTCGAGATAGAGAAGAGCAGATTAAGTCTAGAGAAGCCAGCAGATATGGGGGGAAATAGATGCCAAGCCACACGGAGATCACCAAGGAATCTAAATAGAATCTAAAGAGACAAGGACCTTTCCACGGAGCTAACAGAAAGACTTCCCCTAAGCTGGTGCCCTGAATTTGGACTTCTAGTTTTGGGAAGCCATCCACGTCTGATATTTTTGTTATAGCAAACAGGCGAATTGTTACTCTTCCTCCATCTTGCTACATGGGAGTGGCTGAGTAACTTGCTACAGACTGATTCTATTGAGGCTCAGGTACCAGGTGAGCAGGGTCAGTCTCATCAGTCCCATCCTCGGCTGAGAAACCTTGTTCCAAACACTGAGGCCTCCCTCTGCCCAGTATGGAGACCGCACGCTGCAAACAGAGAACACACTCCAGCTTCAGTAGTGTTGGAGGAATGTACAAACTTGCCTGCTTCTGAGGGAGCACAATATTCCCCACACTATCCAACTTAAGCCTTTATTGGCAAGGAAGGCATTCCCTGAGCTACTGAAACACATACACATGTTTCTGAATAATTTATATGGCCTGATAATTTCATGATTAAAAAATGAATTATTTCCTTACCTCCATCGATCTAACTATCCACCCACAGAAAATAATCCAGTAGGATCACTACTAAAATGTTTAGAGTCATTACTGGTAGAACATACGGGATAATTTTTATTCAGTTATCAACTGTATTTTCCAATAATAAGCATGAGCTACCTTTATTTTGTAAGGAGCTCTGGTAGCGTAGTGGTTACGAATCAGGCTGCGAATCTCAGGGTCAGTAGTTCAAAACTACCAGCTGTTCCTTGGGAAAAAGATGAGGCTTTCTGCTCCCATAAGGATTTACAGCCTCGGAAACCCTGTACAGGGTCACTATGAGTCGGAACCAACTCCATGGCACAACAACAACAACCTTTAGTTTGTGGAAGAAAGATAAGGCTTCCTGCTCCCACAAAGATGTACAGCCTCAGAAACCCTACATAGGGTCCCTGTGAGTTGGAACTAACTCAATAGCACTTAATAGCAACAAACACCTTTATTTTTAATAATTTATAATTATACAAAATGCCAACTGAGTCTCCTGGTCAAAAACAGCATTAACAGCATTTAGAATGTAAGGTCCCTTTTGTCCATTTCCATTTGGCGCCCCAAACCCAGAAGTAACTAATTCCCACTGTCAGTATGACGGATATTCTTCTCCCAGACTTTTTACTATGCAAAAAACAGCAATTAGAAGTTAAGGACCCTTTTGTTCATTTCCATTTGAACACAAACACTCCTGGCTCAAAGTAACTAATTCCCACTGTTGTCAATCTGATGTCTATTCTCCTCTCCAAATTTCTTCTATGCATTGACATACATTTTTACACATAATTAGTGTTATTGTTTCTTATAAAATGCATACTATCCCGAGCTTGGTTTTTTCCACTCAACATTAACCTGTCCAAAAGAACCCACACATACGTAGTGCATTATTTTACACTTTCAAAATTAAAAATTTAGTAAGTGAAATGAATGTTACCAGGTGAGGACTACTTGTCTCCGGCTCTCATAAAGACAGCCAAGAACTGCTCCCTGTGGCCTTTTCTGCTGGCCCCAGGCTCTCTCCACACCTCCCCTCCCTGCACTCACCTAGAAAGCTCAGGTCCAGCAGCTGAAGCCAGGCCACATCCCAGTCCCGCTGGACGCCAATGTTTGGTAAGCTGATGCTCACTTTACCAGTGCTGTGGGTTTTAACCCGGAGGAATGTTCTCAAGTTCAAGGCCATAGCTATTGCTACCTGTAGAGAATAAAGGGCAAGAGCAATAAGCCTGAGGATGGGTGGCAATAAGAATGCTCCCTTCTTAGCTGAAAAGGAGTCAACACCAAGTGCTGAGAAGAAAGAATCAATACTTCTCAGTTCACACTACCTCCTCCCAGACCTTTGGCAGACATTGCTAATCAACATTCTCCCACTGAGCCTGGGAACAGCCACTACCAATGTCTAATGTCTACTCAGATTTGCCATCCCCATGCAAATATTCATTTGGTTCAGAGGTTCTTAACACCAAGGAAGCAATCTCTTCCCCATAACCACTAGGTTTAAAAAACTATGACGTTAAATAAATATCAGTTGGGAACATAGAGCACAACGACATTTAAGAGTGGATGGGCGAAAAAGCAGGTTCAGACAGACCAAAGTCACTGCCATCCTTTCCTAAGCCTCATTTTTCACATCTGCAACCTAAGGGAAAAGGATGTGCCTTGAAGCGCAGTCCTCAACCCTCTGTTTCTCTCTGCCAATGCTTACATTGTAGGTGACCTCAGGCCACTCACAGGGCTTTCTGTATCTTTGGGTTTTTCTTTTTTTTTTTTTAAAGTTTTTATTGTGCATTGAATGATAGTTTACATGGGAGAACATCGGTTTTACACTCATTGTTTCATTGCAATGATTACAATCTCCTCTGGCATCATCATCATTCAGCAGTGTTATCCCTTCTGTTGTTTTGGGGTTTTTTTTTTTGTTTGTTTGTTTTTTTAATTAAATGTTTTTATTTTGCATTGAGTGAAAGTTTACAGGGCACGTCATCAGCTTCAT